GTGGGAGAGTAAATTGGTATAACTACTTTGGAAAAGCATGTGGTAGTATCATAAAGTTGAAGACATGCATACTGAATGATCCAGCATTGCATTCGTAAGCAATATCCCCAGGAGACAGGTACACTAATGTTCCCAAAAACCAACTACTAGAAACAACCCACCTGCCTATCAACAGTAGAATGTGTAAGGAAACTGTAATATATGCAACAATATACAACTGTACAGCAATGAAAATGAACTACATCCTTGAAAAGCATGAATCAATTTCACAAGCATAATGTTGAAGAAGCCAAACAGAAAATCCATATTGTGTATGATTCCATTTATATAAATTCCAAAAGCAGGCAAAACAAAATGATTTTATGTAGAGATGCCTACACAAGCAGTAAAGCTATACAGAAAAGCATGGATGTTAGTAGCATAAACTTCAGGATGATGGTTTCCACTGAGCTGGGAGAAGGGAACCGTGACTGGAGAGGACACCTGGAGGCTGGGTGCTTGCCTTGAGTACTAGTTAAATGTGTGTTCATGTTATCATTATTTCTTAAAATATATGTTGATGTTTTCTGTACCTTTATGTACTTATGTCAGATTTCATGGTTTAAAAAATTTTTAAATGTTCAATAGATGTATTTAGTAGCAGATTAGATATGACTATTAGTAAATTGTACAACAGAGCTAAAGAAAGTATCCAGAATGCAGCACAGAGGCTCAAAGAAATAGAAAATTTGAAAAATAGAAGACATGGAAGATAATGTGAGAAGGTCTAACAAAAATCTAATTGTCATGCCAGAAAGAGAAGATAGAATGAAATAGCAGCAATATTTTAAAAGATACTCCCTAAGAACTTTCCAAAACTGATGAAAGACACAAATCCACAAATTAAAAAAGTCCAATAAATCCCAAGCAGGAAAGACATAAATAGGTCCATACCTAGACATGAGATCTTAAAAGCAGCCAGAGATAAGCTGATTACCTTTAAAACCATTATTTTTAGACTTCAAGCTGACTTCTCAATAGCACCAATGAAATCCAGAAGACAGTTGAATAATATCTTCAATACACTGAGAGAGTAACTGTCAGAGAGGGGGAAAAAAAAGTCACAAAGAATCAGAAGTCAGAGTACCTTCAGACTTTCAAGCAACAGCATGGCGGAACTAGAAGACGATAAACTAATGCCTTCAAAATTCTGAGGAAAAAAATGATTTTCCAACCTAGAATTCTTCACCCAAACTGTCAACTTATGAAGTTAGACTGGAAACATTTTCAGACATGAAAGAACTCAAATAGTTTACTTCCTCTACATTCTTCCTCTGGAAGCTACTTGAGAAAGTGTGCCACCAAATCAGGCAGTATTCTAAGGAAGAGATGGAGATGGGATCTAGGAAACAGGGGACCCAAGCCAAAAGAGAGGCAATCTCCAGGACGATAGGAGAGCCCAGGCTAATGGCTTGGCAGCAGTCCTGGAGAACAAGTCAAAAGGCTCCAAGACAGCTCCAGGGAATGAAAACTACTAGAATGCCAGACATCTTTGAACATATGCATAGGAGATTTAGACAATTGGGGGAAGTCTCGAACTAGTCATCAGTAATAGAGAACAAGCAAAAAGGGGGTGACTCCAGGGAAAACAAAAAGTTGGGCGAGAAAGGAAGAGCCATCATAGTCATTACTCAGTTGTGCCTAATGTTTTCATGGATTTAATAATGTAAACACCACAGAACTATGTAACCAAAATCATTGTACACAGGACCGGAAGGATGGGGAACAGGAAGCGTGTGTTCGTGGGGGCAGGTGAAAGAGCTATATCATCATCTTTTTTTTTTTTTAATAGAGACAAGGTCTCACTCTGTTGCCCAGGCTAGAGTGCAATGGGGTCATCACAGCTCACTGTAACCCCGAACTCCTGGGCTTAAGCCAGCCTCCTGTCTCGGCCTCCCAGGTAGCTAGGACTACAGGCACCTATCACCACACCTGGTTAATTTTTAAAATTTTTGTATAGAGAGGGTTTCGCTATGTTGCCCGGGCTGGTCTCAAACTCCTGGCCTCAAGTGATCCTCCCACCTCAGCCTCCCAAAGTGCTGGGATTACAGGAGTGAGCCACGGTATCCAGCCATCAACATCTTTTATAGTGAGAAATCAATTCGTAATTGCTAATATGTATTTAAAAAACAAAGAAATAGCACTATAAGCAAATTATTTAGAGAATTGGAGGTAAATACCAAAAGAAACAGCTAAAAGCATTGAAAGTGGTTTATTCTGGGAAGTGGATAATTGGGTGGTTAAGGGCCAAGGATTGCTACTTTTTTTGTAATAACCCTTATAGAACCACTTAACTCTTTGAACCAGTGGTCAGCAAAGTATTCCCCAAAGGCCCTCTGCCTGTTTTGTATGGCCTATGAGCTAAGAATAGTTTTTACATTTTTAAATTGTTGGAAAAAATCAAAAATAGAATATTTCATGACATGTGAAAACTATGTAAGATCCAAACTTTAATGTCTATAAACGAAGTTTTATTGGAACACATCCACACTCATTCATTTAGGTATTGCCTATGGCTGCTTTCATGTTACAACAATGGCTGAGTTGAGTAGTTGCAACAGAGACCATGTGGCCTAAATTATTTACTATCTGGCCCTTTACAGAACAGTTTGCTGACTCCTGCTTTAAACTATATTCATGTATACCATTGATAAATGTAAGATCTAAGTAACTGTTTAAAAAGCAAGTTGTAAACAGGGAAAATAAAAGTTTGCTAATGACTTATTCTGGGGGCAATTTTATATTAATAGATACAATTTTATATTAATAGATACAAAATTCAAAATTGAGAGAAAAATATATTGGTGAAAAAATTAAAAGCAACAGTAGAAGTATAGAATCCAGATATGTACATAGCATCCAAATAACCAAGGTGGGGGGAATGGAACTTGATTAATCCAACAAAAGGAAGAGAAGGAAGAGCAAAGAGAAATAGGACCTCAGGATAAACAGAAAATATAAAATAGGATGCCAATAAGATGTGATTTTAATGGCTATATGCTATATTCTTGAGAAGACTCAGTATTGAAAGACATTATCCCTCTACATAGTAACCTTCCATGAAATCCCAATTAAAAACCCAGGGGAAATGAATGCCTCATGAATCTTAAATTAGCTGATTCCAAAGTTTATTTAGAAGAGAAAATGCAAAATAATAGCTACGAAAATTTTGAAAAAGAATACTAAACATGGTATTGGGAAAATGGACTACTTCAAAAAATATTAAGTTAGAGTGCTACTTTATATTTTATACAATAATAAAGTGCAGACAGAACAAAGAAATATAAAAAGCAAAACTATAAAATTATTACTAGGACGTAATAAGAAATGTTTTTATAATCTCTGGGTGAAGAAGAGCTTTCTAAGCAAGACTCAAACCAAAATGCCATAAAGAAAAGATTTACATATTTTATTACATAAAATATTTCAAAACCTTCTGCACGGAGAAGAAAACCCAAAGTTAAAAAGAAGCAACATTAGGGTTTGTTTTTTTCTTAAAAATAAAGTATCTCCTTTACCATTGAAAAATGCAACAGAATGAGAAAAAAGACTTGGACTATCTCCAATACATAAGTGGATAATCAACATAATATATAAAGGACTCCTACAAATTTGTAAACTACAAACAAATAATCCGATATAAAGACATAAAAGGATAGTAATGGATAGTTCAGACAGGTTGAAATACAAAAAAACCTGCCCAACTGCAAGGTGATCAGGGAATGCTAAGTGAAAGCGATAATTGCTATTTTTTCATCCATCAGAATGCCAAAAATGAGAAAGTCTAACAAAATCCGGTGTTGATGAGGATGCAGGGAAATGATCACTCGTATACTCTGCAAGTAGGAGTATATACAGGTTCAGGGTTTTTGATGAGCAATTAGGCAATATCTATTAAAATTTTAAATGCACATACCCTTTAACCCAGCAAGAACATGGGAACCTAATGGCATTCAAGTCACACTCTGGGAATCTCATGCAGGAATTTGGCATTTTCGAACTAAGATGCAGCACTTGGGCTCCCCAGTGGTTGAACTTGGGTATATTGTTGTGGAGATGGTGTCTCTTAAGGCAAAGTCAGTTCCAGGAGCTCACTCCAGTCAGGCTACCAAGTCACATTACAGGCTGGCATTAGGCTAACGCCACCTCAACAGGCACACGGAGCTTGGAGCTTGCTGTACAGAATGTTCTAGAAAAGAGGCTGGGCGCAGTGGCTCACGCCTATAATCCTAGCACACTGGGAGGAGGAGGCGGGAGGACCGCTTGAGCTCAGGAGTTCCAGACCAGCCTGAACAAGAGCGAGACCCATCTCTACGAAAAATAGAAAGAAATTAGCCGGTCCTGGCGGTGCCTGCCTGTAACCCCAACTACTGGAGAGGCTCAGGCAGGAGGATCACTTGAGCCCAGGAGTAACAGTGAGACTCTGTCAAAAAAATAGAATGTTCTAGAAAGGACGTTTCTAGAACATGCTGGGCTGGCATCTGCTAAGAAGCCCACCTAGAGCCTGGGCTGCTATGGGGGAGGGGGTGGCCATCGGCCCACTTTGAAATTCCACCTTTATATATCGCGATAAAATGAGCGCAATGGTAACTTCACTGTTGTAACTACTTTCAAGTGTGTACTTCGTCCCATAAGTACATTCACCACATTGTACAACCACCGTGACCACCTAGTTCCAGAACTTTTTTACCATCCCAAAGGAGACCCTGTGCTCTCTGGCAGAGGGAAACCCCTTAGCAACTGACAGCCTGAGAAAAGACAAAAAGAAATGGAATTATTCTTAATAATGTTGCACGTGCAAGTGACAACTATTTAAGTGCATTGAAGTGGGCAGCGGAGGGATCGGCGCGGAGGGATCGGCGCGGAGGGATCGGCGCAGAGGGATTGGAGCGGAGGTCACGTGACAGCTGCGCAGCGCGCCCAGCCACATTTGTTCTGTGGACGCCGACGCGATCACGGCCATGGCCGACGCCGAAGGGAGCACTGCGATGGCGGACGAGGCCAGGCCCGACGAAAGGACGGTGCAGGTGCTTCGAGACTTGGCCAACCGCCTGCGCATCCATGCCATCAGGGCCACGTGCGCCTCAAGCTCTGGGTAAGTTCCCTTCGTCTAAGCTCGTGTCGTGTGGGGCAGCGAGGCCATAGAATAAAGGGAGCTCGGTGGATTTGGTCGTAGAGGACTTATCTCTGGCCTTCGGGGTCCAGCCACCACCCTTCGACGCTCTGGAGGCACTATCCCCGCCAGCCTAAATGGCCAGCCTGTGCTTGGGTGCCCGCCCCTTGCTCCCCCCGCAGCCGAGGCTCTGGAGGTCCCCACAGCCTTACCCATTAGCAGAGAAGAATCCAGATCTGAGTCGGACGGCTTGGCGATGTCCCTGGGATCAGATCGGGCTAGCTGTGGTTTGCATCTTAGCGGGGAGCGAGGCTTCCTGTGCAAGCAGTTGCACTGGGTGCCAGGGGATGAATGAGTGACCCTAATCCAGGACTTCAGGGTAAAAGAAATTAAAAGAAAGTGGTCGGCGGGTAAGACTCGGAGCAAAAACGAGTTGTTGGATTTGCTAGTATCTTGTGGAGGATTTTCGCATCAATATTCATATGGGTTATTGGTCTGTAATTTTTTGTAGAGTGTCTGGCTTTGGTGTCGAGGTAATGTTGGTTTCATAGAATGAGTTTTGAAGTGATCCCTCAATATTTTGTAAGCGTTTGAAGAGGATTGTGAATTCTTTTTTAAATGTTGGGTAGAATTCACCACTGAGGCCATCGGGTGGAGAGCTTTTCTTTGTAGGAAGTGGTTTTTTGTTTGTTTGTGTTTTTTTGTTTTTGTTTTTTGAGACACTCTTACTCTGTCACCTGGGCTAGAGTGCCGTGGCGTCAGCCTAGCTCACAGCAACCTCAAACTCCTGGGCTCAAGCGATCCTTCTGCCTCAGCCTCCCGAGTAGCTGGGACTACAGGTGCCACCACCACGCCCAGCTAATTTTTTCTATTTTTAGTGGAGACGGGGGTCTCGCTCTTGCTCAGGCTGGTCTCGAACTCCTAATCTCGAGCGATCCACCCGCCTGGGCCTTCCAGAGTGCTAGGATTACAGGCGTGAGCCACTGCATCCGGCCATGTCTGGAGTTTTTTGATTACCACTTCACTTCAATCTCCTTGCCGTTAATAGTTGTAAATCAATTTACATTTTATTGTTGTGATTAAGTCATATAGGGTTTTGTGTTCCAGGAATTTATCTATTTCTTTGAGGTGAACCCTTTTGTTGGCATACAGTTACCATAATACACTCTTATCTTTTTTATTTATGTAGAAGCGGTAGTAATGTTCCCACTTTCACTTCTGATTTCAGTTGTCTTCTCTGTTTTTTACTTAGTTAATCTAGCTAGTTTTTAAAATCTTTTTTCAAAAAACCAACTTTGATTTCATTGATTTTTTTTTCTCTATTGTTTTCCTAGTCTCTCTCATTTATTTCTGTTATAATCTTTATTTTTTCCTTTCTTCTGCTACCTTTAGGTTTTGTTTTTTCTTTTCCTAGTTGCTTAAGTTGTAAAGTTAGGTTATTGATTTGAGGTGTTTTTTAAAAATGTGTTTACAGTTATAAATTTCCCTCTTTGGCTGGGAGTAATGGCATGTGCCTATAGTCCCAGCTATTTGAGAGGTTCACGTGGGAGGATCACTTGAACCTAGCAGTTAGAGACCAGCCAGGGCAACATAGTGAGACCCCATCTCTACAAAAAATAGAAAAATTACTGGGGCGTGGTGGTGCACACCTGTAGTCCCAGCTACTCAGGAGGCTGAGGCAAGAAGATCGCTTGAGCCCAGGAGTTTGAGGCTCAATGAGCTATGATGATGCCACTGCACTCTAGCCCAGGTGACAGAGCAAGACTGTCTCAAAAAAAAAAATCCCTCTAGGCACTACTTTTGCTACATCCCAGAAGTTTGGGTATCTTGTGCTTTTGTTTTCATTTGTCTCTAAGTGTTTTCTAATTTTCCTTGTGATTTTTTTTGACCCATTGGTTGTGTGTTGCTTAATTTTCACAAATGTATGAATTTTCCAGTTTTCCTTCTGTTACTGATTTCTAACTTCATCCCATTGTGGTCAGGGGAAATATTTAGTATATCTCTCTTTGAATCTTGCCCTGGAGCCTGGGCTATGATAGTAAAAGGACAGTGAACGTGGTTAAGACTCATATATTTTTGAAATATTGTTACCTGTTTATTTTGCTCCTTTCACCCTAAAAATTAGTAACAGAGGGTTGCATTTTCTCAAGGGATCTCTATGGCTTTTAAATATAAATCATCCATGTGAGGGACACTTGCAAGGTAAAAGGTTTAAGTCTCTGTTTTCTTTATTGTGAAATTTGAAATGAGATTATTAACGTGAATGAACTAGGCCTAAAATCTTATTTTTCTAACAGTTGGGGCAGGACTCCAGGGATTTGATTTTGTCCTGTCCCCTCCCCCTTTTTAATTAATTAGGCATTGGCTGGACTCACATGCAGGCTGATTTTTAAGAACAGTAGTTATTTTGGTGGCATTCAGAAAGGGCCCGAGTTAATTGACTATGAGAAATTTCTTAGTCTTTTACCATTCACTTCTTAAAAGAAATGCATTTTAGGTAGTAGGATGGGACTTCATGGTGTTTCTCATTAGCAATGCTTCTTAAGTTTTCTCAGCAGGTGAAGTACTGTAAATGAATTCAAACAAGTGGAAGAATACTCAGGTTGGAGTCACAGTGAACTTGCCCCAAGTGCAGGATGTTCCATTGATAGAAGGGGGCTGGTCTCAGAGCATCTTGCTATGTGCAGGGAGAGAGGTCATGAGGTTACTGTGCTTTAAAGTGTCCTTCAAAGCCATGAGCTCGGAAAGCTGTGGCCCTGCACCCCTTACCCTTTCTTCCTGGGCTGGGAGAAATGACTGCTACTTCTGGTCTGAGGAGACCATGTGCTGAGGCAGAGTCCCTAGGAAATCACTTGCCTGTGAGAAATGACCTGTGTCATGCTTGCCTTTCAGCCACCCCATGTCATACAGCAGTGCTGCCGAGATCATGTCTGTGCTGTTTTTCCACACGATGAGATATAAACAATCAGACCCAGAGAACCCGGACAATGACCGATTCATCCTCTCAAAGGTATGTCAGCAGGGGAGCCCAGGGCTTGATCCAGTGCTTGCTTCTTAAGCCCATTTTAAAAAGCCACCATGTAGGAACAAGGCCTGGAATGGACGCTGTTTGTCATTGTGGTTCTTCCTTTTTTATATCGTAAAGATCTAAAAGGTGTTCTAGTGAGGACCACTTGAAGCCATGTAGCTTGTGTAGCTGGAAGGGTGGCTTGTGGCAGCAGGTGTGCTTCCTTTCCTTTGGTGGTACCCTGCCTCACCCCACCTCACACTGAAGCCCCCCTCAGTAGGGTTATGCTCCTCCCATCCTCTGGGCTGCCTGGACAGAGGCGGGCCACCTCAGTGGATACAACTTGCTGAGCCTGAGGAAAAGTGAGTATGACTTGGAAGGACATCCTGTCCCTATCAGTCAGCTTTTCCTTCCGTTTGTCTGCAGATCTGGCCTGAAATTGATGGGGTACCTTCTCATTAGACTAGGTATAAATACCAGGTACCTCATGATGTTAGGGGACAGGAAAGAAAAGGAACCTTAAAAACAAGGTCAATCTGAAAATGTGTTGCTGGTTTGATGCCATCTGAAAGTATGCTGTGTCCTGAAGGAAATCACTTAAAACCTGGCTGGTACAGCACCATGTCCAAACAGAAATATCAGATTAGGAAGTAGGGATAGTTAATGAGTGCAAAAATATAGTTAGATAGAATGAACAATGTTTGATAGAACAACAAAGTGACTATAATCGACAATAAGTGAGGGTGTACTTTAACTAAAAGAGTGGAATTGGAATGTTCCCAACACAAAGAAATGATCAGTGCTTGAGGGGATGGATACCCTGATTACCCTGATTTGATTAATTCACATCATATGCCTGTATCAAAACATCACATGTACCCTATAAATACATACAACTATTATGCACCTATAATAA